TATTGTTTTTTATTATTAATTTTGACTGGATTTCAAATTAGGGTGTGATTTTTATAAATATTTGAAATTGGAGTGTGTTGGGAGTTAAGTTGGATTTAGAGTGCAATTGTAACAAGTTGCAAAGGTTGAGGTAACGGGTATGGATTAGCCATATATGATTAACTTAGTCTATCTTTGGATGCTTTTGACACTGTTGGATTGTTTTAGGAAGAATCATTAACGCAAAGCTGATTTTAACATTTTAAGGCAAAGCTGATTTTAACATTTTAAGAGGGCTGTAGTTGGGAAGCCTCTATGCATAATGGTGCTAGTGATAATTACAAGAAGGTCAATTGGAATAAGTGGTTTATATGATTTTCTGGTTTTTTTTTTTTATTTGTCAATTTATGTTGGTGTCGGTGATTGTCATTTTTTTCTTCTCAAGAGTCATATTATTTGATCTCACTTTGAACCAAATTTTTGTAGTTCTTGAATTTCAATAGCCAAAAGCATAATTTGTTGCTAAATTTTATGCATGTTAGTTACAAGGAGCTAAAATATTAAGGCCTTTTTTGACAATAACTTTTATGCTAGCTTTTAGCTTTTGACCAAATCAGAACTCTATTTTTTTAATTGTATTGATCAGTAACATAGCTTTTAATAGCCTTTAGAGGTCGGTGAAGCTTTTTATGAAAGATTAAATATTCTAATTTTAGCGTTTCACATAGATTAACACCTCAACAATGTTCTAATTTATAAAAGAATAAAAGTCTGTGCAAAAAAGTCTGTGCAAAGTGCAGCTATTGATTAAAACAGCTTCACACTGACTTATTCAATATCAGAGCTTCTTTATGAAGGAAAGTTATCGAAATTAGAACTTCCTCATAAAATTTGAAAAATCATATAAAGCTATGTGAAAGACAATTATTGAATTCAGAACTTCTTCACAGAACCTTAATCAAATATCAGAACGACATTATGATGGAAAGCTATCAAGATTAGTAGTTCCTCATAAAGTTTAGAATGTAGATTAGAAACCCAATCAGTGAATTATACTGAGAATAGAACAACAGTTAGAACATGGTATATTCACTTTATTAGAATACCAGAGTTCTAATGTTTAGATAAGACTTATCACTGTTTTAGAACATCTGAATTATTAACAATTTTAGCGTTTCTAAAAATTAAACAAAGGTGTTATAAAGACAAGTATCAAGCAAACTTCAGAAATAAAAGATTAACACAGAGATTTATAGTGGTTCGGCACTAACTTCGCCTTACATCCACTCCCCCAAAATGCATCTTGAGATCCTCAACTATGTTTATCTCTTTTAAAGGGTAAGAGACAAAAACCAACAGTACAAGACAAATAGATCAACACCTAGATTACCCTTTTTGTACCACATAGATTTCCAAAGGGTTCTAGTTAACCTCAAACCCCTTTCTGTTTTTGGCAGAGTACAAAAAACTCAATTCAAGGAAAGACATTAGAATCTCACACAAGGAGAAGGTCGCTTGATAACCTTTTTCTCAATAGCTTCTAACCTAAGCTATTACACACTTGTTTATCAAATAAGAACTTATCTACTATAGATTACAGAATCTAAATAGACAGAAAGAAATGTACATATAAGCACAGGAAAAACAGTTTATCGGATTAGAAAATTGTTTAAGATTAGAAGATCAATTAGAACACAGAACCGTTTTTCAAAAGTAATTGTAAAAATTCTTTTCACTTTAAATATTGAAAACGTTAAGTGTAGAGATGAAAAGAAAGTTGGGGGTAGAGAGTAAGTTTTGAGAGATAAAGATTTAATCAATGAGAGAATGCTCTTAAAACAAAAACTCTTACTTCACTAATGTTCAAGACGTGAAAAGCTCCTTTATATAGAGAGCTAAGAAGCTGTTGCCTTTGGAAAGAGATTTTATTTTGAAATCAGAATATCTTCTTTCCTTATTTAGAAGATATGAAAATCTTTGTTACCAAAAAATTTATTTTATCCTTTTTGGTAAGATAAAACACGATTTTTGCTTTCCTTAAAATAAAAGATTTTCAGCAGCATTAAAATTTGGAAAATATTTTTACCGGAAGGATACCTCTTTACTAAAAAATGAAAAAGATTCTCCTTCGTTTTATAAGGTAAGAAAATAAATAAATAAATTTAAGTACTTTAGATCTTTCAAAATATATTTCCGAAAAAGTGTATGATTTTATTACCAAAAACATTAGAGAGGAAATCTCTTTAGTTTTAGGAAATTAAATCACTTCGATTTAAGGAATATTTTTCGAAAACAAATAAAGGAATTTATTTTGAGAAAATCTAATTTCCGAAAATGTTTTTGACTGAGAGAAAAATAATTTATCTGCTTATATATGGATTTTCTCTCTATCCTACAAAGTATCCTAAATACCTAGTTACTAGGATCTTCGAATATCTTCACACTCAATGTAGGATTTGCCTTGTACGATTTCTTTCCATAGTAATTCTGCATAAATAATTCTGCATAAAATAAAATTAGCACAAATAACATAATTTAAATTTATTTGTTTTGTATTAATCATCAAAATCCGAGATTAGAAATTGACCTTGAGCCAACAGGGAAGCCTCTATGCATAATGGTGCTAGTGATAATTACAATAAGGTCAATTGGAATAAGTGGTTTATATGGTTTTCTAATTTTTTTTATTTGTCAATTTATGTTGGTTTCGGTGATTGTCATTTTTTTCTTCTCAAAGAGTCATATTATTTGATCTCACTTTGAACCAAATTTTTGTAGTTCTTGAATTTCAATAGCCAAAAGCATAATTTGTTGCTAAATTCAATATGCCAGCAAAGGCATAATTTGGTTTGCCTAAATTTTTATGCATGTTTAGTTTTACAAGCGAGCCTAAAATATTAAAAGGCCTTTTTTTGACATATAATACTTTAATGCATGTTAGTTACAAGGAGCTAAAATATTAAGGCCTTTTTTGACAATAACTTTTATGCTAGCTTTTAGCTTTTGACCAAATCAGAACTCTATTTTTTTAATTGTATTGATCAGTAACATAGCTTTTAATAGCCTTTAGAGGTCGGTGAAGCTTTTTATGAAAGATTAAATATTCTAATTTTAGCGTTTCACATAGATTAATTAAATTTTTTTTGACAATCACATCCATTTTTTCGTTGAATTCAGCTAATTAAATATATAATGTTTTTCGTTTGTCATTTTAAGTTAAATAGCTAACTAAACAATTATTTTATCAATCATTTCTAATTTAAACCGCTATATAAATAGCTACAAGCTAAAAGCTAATATTGCCGAACATGCCCTAAGTTGAGAATAAATTTATGCTTTTAGTGCAATTGCTTTATTCAATAATCAATATGTATGAACGCAGTCAAATTGTCAAAATTCTTTGTTGTCATATGTGGTTAAGATTCATATTTACTTGTTCTCTCACATTTAAAATTTATATATATTCTTATCTTTGAAAGTTTATTTATGTGGTTAATCAAATGTCAGGCATGATCGTTGGAAAATTTTGTGCGAAGATAAACCATCTTGATTCTCTACTTCAGGACATTATTATGCCTTAAAGCATGCTCTATGGGTCTGATTTTTTATTAGTTAATGAAGCTAATTCTATGGCCTATTTTGAGTTCTTGGAATCTTCTTAGTTGTATGGCTAGGGATGGAAGTGAGACGGGTATTTTAGGGTACCCGTCCCGTTCCGATCCGTTGGATGAGAGTACCCATTTATTAGTAAAAAATACATTTTAAATAAGTTTGGATTTAGATAGATTAACATGTATTGGTATCCTACCCATTTAAAAGGGACTTTAAACGAGTTTGAGACGGATACGGGTAGTAAAATTTTAAACAGGTTCAGATATTTAAATGAATATTTAAACAAGTTTGGAATGGAAACGGGTAATAAAATTTTAAACAGATATGATTACGGGTAGTTCAAAATTCGCGAGACTCATTGCGCTACCACCCCTATGTATGGCATATTTAAATATTATGTGTTGTTAAATATTGTAGCAGACCCTTTGAATTTTTTGTATGCAGTGTTGTCCTTAAGTGCTATATTTTGTATGCAGTGTTGTCCTTAAGTGCTATATTGGGTTTTCAATATTTTTTATTTTTACTTTTTAAAAAAAGATGAGTTTTAATTAAGTTTCTTATTGTGCCCCTGTATTATTGCTATTAATAAAGTCATTATTGTTGCCATTCATATTAGCCAATTTATAACTTTTACTCTCTTTTTAATTAAGTTTCTTATTGTGCCCCTGTATTATTGCTATTAATAAAGTCATTATTGTTGCCATTCATATTAGCCAATTTATAACTTTTACTCTCTTGACTATTACATTTTTTTTAATAAATATATTTGGATCTCATTAAAAACTTCAAATTAATACAAATAATAAAAAAAAAACATGATCACTCTTCTGAAGTCCAGATATATAATAAAACTATAAATAAAATATAAAAATGTGTTAACAGCCCGTTTCTGTAGAAATCCAAGCTTTGTTACCATGTGTTAACAGTGCAAATCTCTTATCGAGTAGAAGGAAGAAATTTGAAGGTGATCAGATCAGACTCGTAAAAAGACTGTGGAGTCAAACAGTGGCCATGAATAGCCACCAAGTAGAGCAAGCGATCACCTATGGCATAAGTACTCTGTCAACTCGATCAGATACTTCAAATCAACTCGATGATACTTTCAAATCAAGATTATTGTTTTTAATTTTTATTGTTTTATATAAGTTCATGGTTTATTATTAGATCTTTCGTTATACAAAAAATATAAAATCATTATTGATCTGTATCTTCAGTATTTTATGTATATCATGTTTTCACTTTATGGATAATTTTCTAGTTTCATTTCTTTAAAAATAATGTTAACTTATTGATGCTAAATGATAAATTGATAAGATTTTGTTAAATTAATATTATACTTAGGAATTATTGTTTCAAGTGTTCTTGATCTTCATGAATAGTATTATATTATGCATTTTCTGTTGTATAATATGGTAACCTATTTATGTGCCGTTTTTGAAGCGGTAAGAATGTTATAGCAAATCATCAACTTATTTGCCTCTTCTATATTGTTGTTTGGAATTATATTGATTTAGATCCAGTATTGGATTATTTACTTGTAAGTTCAAAATAGAATTTGTTTAACATACCTCTCATTGTTGTTTTGGAATAATAAATCCATATGGAATTTACTTTATTCAAAATAAATTTGGTAAAAAATTATTTGTAAAATGGAATTTTATATTTAATAAATTATAAAAATCATTCTTAATATATAGTTTTACTCATCTGTACTTAAAACTTATTATTTTTATTAGCTTGTTTTAAAAAAAATTGGAATTTATTTGCAAATTATATCAATTTCAGTAGAATTTGTTCTAAGTATAACCAAGTTCACAAAATTAAAAATGTGATGCTTCAAACGAATTTTCATTTGTAACAAAAATGAAGATTTAGATTTATAAATAAGTTTTATAAAAATTTATTTGATAATTAGTGAATAAAAGTTTCTTAGTTGAAATGTTAAGTTATACCAAATAAGAGTATAATTTTATTTTTAAATATATTATTATCATTATATATATTTTTTTCAATCTATAAATATAAAATTTTAAAAAATTAGCCATTTTCAGTCACGTTGAATAAAAGAGGTCAGAATTTGATGATTATGGGCAATTCCAGTTGGACAGCAGAGACTTCTGTGCGTGGTGATTAAGGTCTCATAAGTCAAAGAAAACTACATTGACGGTGAAGTTAAGCTATTATTAGCTGTAAGTTGATATTATATAGCTTTCAAAGCCAAGTTAATTAAGTTAATATTATAAGTTGATTGGTGATTGGTGATTCCTGATTGGTGATTGATAAATATTAAATATTTTTAAAATTAAGAACTAAAAGCCTTCATCTATAAATAGCCATGCAAGATTTCTCACACCTCATCGAAGCAAATAACAAGTTGTAGAATTATAATTAAGCAATATTAATAATTAGGTGCAAGAAATTTAGTTAAAATTTGGTTAGAATTATTTACTGTCGTGATAATTTTTGTTTTTTTCCGTTGTAGCTTCTTGCGGAGTCGTGCTCTGGCAATTTCGTGTTCTGCCATGGCTTATGTACCCTATGGTCTCGTGCATCCAGGACGATTTGTGTTCTAGCCAATGATAACCAAAGCTAATAGTGGTTAAGGGTTGAGCTATTTTGGTCGTGTTCTTTTCTTTTTTTTCATCGTGCCTTAGTATATAATATACTCCATTACTTTGATTGCAGTGTTTCGTGTTCGTTAATGGAAAATTTTGCAAAGATCCAGAGAAAGTGACAGCAGACGATTTCTTTATTACAGGGCTTAACGTTCGTAAACAAACCTCAAAACAATTAGGAGTACGTGTCACTCTCTTAACCGTAGATCAAGTTCCAGGACTCAACACTAATGCCTTATCCATAGTCCGCGTTGATTTTGCACCAAATGGCAGTCTAAACCCACCCCATATTCACCCTCGAGCTGCAGAAATACTGACTGTCTTAGAAGGAACTCTTTACGCGGGTTTTATTACAGGAAATCCTGATCACCGCCTTTTCGCCAAAATCTTAAAGCCAGGTGATGCATTTGTGTTTCCACTTGGACTCATTCACTTCCAGTTAAATATTGGCAAGACTCCTGCAGTCGCTCTAGCTGTATTGAATAGCCAAAACCCAGGAGTTGTTACTATTGCAAATACAATATTTGGAGCTACCCCATCAGTAAATCCTGATGTTTTGACAAGAGCATGCTACCCCATCAGTAAATCCTGATGTTTTGACAAGAGCATTCCATCTTGATAAGGATTTAGTGACTAAACTTCAAAAAGAAGAATGGGTTGATCCAGATCAGCTTTATTAATTGAGTTTTTCTGCAAGCAGAAAGTTTATTAATATCCTCATAATAAATCACTACATTGTAGTAAATAAAAAGAGAATGTTTTCTCTTTTTCTTTTTCTTTTTCTTTACTTTTTTTTAATCTCAAAAGAGAGTATTGTAACATAATAAGGACGAGGATGGTTACATATGTGCCTCTCTCACAAAGTTCATGTTGCATTAAGTGATGTGTACTATTGCAAGTTGTTTAATTAATATATATTTGAATTTTTGGTTCAATATGACTTGATTAGTTAATTCGAACTTAGAATCTCGTATGAATATGTCATTTTGTATTATTATGTCCATTGGTGGAGGGAGGAAGGACTAGTAATAGCTCACTCGAGCTCAAAAAAGAAATCCATATTTATTGTATTAATTCAGTTGGATTTTTTTTTTTACTCTAACACAATAACATTGAATTTTTCGTTATGTCAGTGATTATTTCAAAAATTATTAAGTGTATGGCATAAATATGTAAAAAGAGTACTGAAAATATGTGTTAAAATCATTATTTAGAAAAAAGAAAAAGAAAAAGAAAAAAAAAAAAACTGAACATCTAAGATTGATTGAAAATGGTGGACTAACAAAGGCAAAAGAGAGAGGGAATGTAAAACTACAAAGGGCAAAAGAGGAGAGGGAATGTAAAACTCGACTAACAAAGGCAAAAGAGAGAGGGAATGTAAAACTTAAAAATAAGATTAGTTTCATACCAAAATAGTACAAATCTGGAAAGAAAAATAAAATGACAGAAACAGTTTTTGCCACAATAGTAATTTGTATTCGTCATGGAACTTATACCTAAGCTCTTGATTGGTATTTCTGATACATTTATCGTTTAATGAGTTGAGGATTATGAAGACAAAGACTAATAGCAAATGGTGTATATTGACTCTTGAGGCCTTGGTTTTAATATTGACATAAAAATGGTACTTTCCTTCTTCATTTAATTTGAATCAAGATTCCACAGTTTCTTTTTTTATTGTTTTTTAGAAAAAGTAAACTAAAATTTCATTAATTGAAAACTGTATATAAATATGAAATACAGATCAATATGTTTATATATTTTTTGTGTAGAGAATTTAATAATAAACCACTTATATTCAAAGAATAAAAAAACGCAATCTTGATTTGAAGTATCTAATCGAATTGACAAAGCATAATATTTATGTCATAGGTGATCGCTTACTCCACTTGGTGGCTATTCATGGCCACTGTTCGATTCTTTGGTCTTTTTACAAGTCTAATCTGATTACCTTCAAATTTTTTCATTCTAATGAAGATGTGATCTGCACTTCTTTCTCCATAACTATCCAAATAATAAAAGACGTTAGACAAAATCAACATAGTGGTGATAACAATAATTCAGAACTAGATTTAAGAATAAAATTCCAAGATATAAGCAACAATCAATCCCAATATTTGGGTGATGAAAATTCAGATCTGTAAACAAATCTGATGATTATTTGCAAAAAAACAAACAAAAAAGGAAAGGGGTGACCACCAGTGAGAGCTCACCGATGGCCACTCGTTGAAGAAAAAAAAAGAGAATTTTTAGGTTTTAGGTTTTGATGAGAGAGAGAGAGAGAGAGAGAGATTCCACAGTTTCTATTATAACTGTTTATCAGAATTTGTTGTCTTTACAAGTTAAAGCATAAGAAAAAATTTATTTACTCCCGGTGTATGGATCCTTTTGTCAATGATATCAAATCAATTTAATAAAATATATTAGAAAAGTAAAAATACTGATGTCATTTTGCAAAAAAAAAAAAAAAAAAAAAGAAAAAAAAAAAAAAAACAGAAAGATAGAGAAATAATAAATTATTGTAATTTTTTTCCACATGTAAAAAAAAAAAAAAAAAAAAAACAGAAAGAATAGAGAAATAATAAATTATTGTAATTTTTTCACATTGTATCCATAGATTGGCCTATTATCATTTGCCAAATGTATAAAGTCTGGTTCCATTGGGTTCATATTTGTAGAAGGGACATAACTATCTTTTTATTATTCTAATCTTAATTTTTTTGTGAGTTGGGTTATCTAATACTTCTTGGATAAAACAAAAGGTACACTAGAGCAGCTCAATGGAACCCCATAAAAATTTTGAAATCCCCCACTAATATGAAAAATAATTATTTAAAATTTGACAAATTAATTACTTAATGCCTTCCATTTGATAAAATTATTATAATTTCATTGAAAAAAACTTGCCTGTGGACGCTCAAATTTTGTCCCTGATGGCCCAGTGATGATATACCATTTTCAACATAAGATTGGATCGGGATTTCTAATCGCTCTGGTTTTCGGATAATGGTCCAGGGCTAAGACAATGCACGCGTCTAACCATTTTTTACTTTTTCGGGTCACTGGCGTTTCGTGACGAAACCGGGCCCGAAAAGTGCTTCACTTTCCGGTGGCCTACCTCATTTTGCGTGCCACTCAATGCGATTCTGTAAAAATTGGCCCGACCCGATTTTAGGGTCCACCAGTGGCATTTTGCCACATAAGCCCTAAAATGGGGCAACACTATCCCATTTGCCTATAAATAGGCCTTGGGATTAGTGCAAAGGGATGACTTTTTTTTTTTTTTTTTTGAAAACTTAAGGAAACTCTTTTATTTTGAAAACTCAACCAAAAATTAAAGGAAACTTGTGTTTTCTACTTTGATCTATGTTGCTATTCAATGATTGTCAATTACAAAACCCTTAAGTATTGATTAAAAGTCCATAAACATGTTCATTTTTTATCTAAAACACGGATCTTGATCCAAGAACTCAACTTTTGGGTTTTTGCATCCAATCTCTCGAAACTCTTTGGAAATCTTCAAAAGGTAATTTTTGAGAGCCATTAATCTCTTTCTCCATCTCTTGTTCTTTTTATTTTGGTGTTAAATGACCGTTCTTAAGCCTGAGTGTGAGAAAAACCCAGGGATAAACCAAATAGGGCTGTCTGTGTTGAAGTGTCGCACTGAGAACAGCAATGGTATAAGCCATTACGTGTGGCATGCGCCACAAGCAAGTGGCTTGCGTCACTTCTTCACAGACACGCTCCTGAAGCTCTGTATCATTCTGTGGCCACCTGATTAGCGAAAGTACCTAGCACCACTACGTGTGGCACACGCACCTTCTCCTGTGGTGCCAGACACTTTATTTTAGAGGCCTAGAATGTTAAAAATCAATAAAACAGACCCGATTTGGAGATCTAGTGGCAAAGCACTAGACTTTATTGATCTGAAATGCGTTTTTGTCTACAAATGGATTGAATAAACACCAATAAATAAGATTCAGAATAGTGATGGATGTATTTGTTTATCGTTCATGATGAACATCAAGATCTTGAACTCTAATCTTGTCTTAATCTTTAAATTTATTGCATTTAACTTTTCATCCTTTATTTTATACACTCTTTACTTTCTGTCCTTTAAATTCATGCCCTTTTATTTAATGTTTTATGTTTCATATGCTAATCCATTAAATGTTAAGTTGTGAACTAGACATGGATCATATTTCCATTGATTGTATGATTGTATGGTTCAATGGATGGTTTATGTTTCTGTGATTGTCACTTGTAGCTTGTGTTTATGTTCTATGAATGATTCCTTATTGCTTTGGTTTATATTTGCCAAATTTAAAGGACCCAAAATGGGTCCTATTATTGCTTAAATGTAATAATTAGTTTGGTTGGAAAATTTTAATGGGGTTAAAGGTAGAATGTATTTTAGGATATGGTTTGTACTCTTTTCTCCTCCTTCCCCTTTTTTGGATGGTTTAAATTTTATGTTTTATGTAATTGGTAATATGCATGTTTGACACATTTTTCAAAATTGCATAAAAAGGTTTTACATCTCAATTATAGTTAATGCTATTATTAATTATTGTTAATTAATGGACAACGAGGAGACCGGTTTAACCGGGTGATTTGGATGCCTAACACCTTCCCAATATCATACCTAATGCTCTTTCCAGTTTCTTAACCGTGTGTGGGAGATATAAGGGTCGAAATCATGCATTTTCCAACTCTCGTTCCCCTTTGTTTGTATATTCATGCTATAATGTGTTGTGTTTTTTTTCTCATGCATCACTTAACTTGTTTTATTGTAGCCATATAAGAATATTCTATCATGGACTAATCTCGTAGTTCAAAGTGCCAAAGGGCGAAGGACTTAAGAGAAGTGCTAGAAGCAAAAACGAGCCAAAAAGAGCTCTTTCAAATGTTGACTATAAGAACGAAGTTCAAGCACCTAAGAGGGAAGCTCCTCCGATTCCGACATCAAATAAAGAAGACCAATTAGAAGAGGTGCACCAACTCTTGCTGGAAATTAAGCAAGCTCAACTCGAGGTCATAACCCTCTTCCAAGGTGTGGAGGCACGTTTCACGCTCATGCGTAACATAGCCAATTGCCTTTTGAAAATTGGACACTTCACCTTAGAGGATGCCAAACCTTATCAAACCTCTTAGGGCTTTGAGTTTTAAAAAGTTGTAAATATTTAGTTAGGGCAAAAAGAACTATCAACGTAAAAAGTCAACTTTTGAGAAGTAATGAAAGTTAGTCTATTTTAAGCCAAATATTGTTAGTGCCGAAAAAAAAAGAAGAAAAATAAAAATAAAAATGTATACAAATAAAGAACCCTGCTCAAGTACATTCACACTTGAGGCAAAAAGAAAGAGATTCAAAAAAAAAAAAAAAAAAAAAAAAGTATACAAATAAAGAACCCTGCTCAAGTACATTCACACTTGAGGCAAAAAGAAAGAGATTCAAAAAAAAAAAAAAAAAAAGAAATTAAACAGAAGGTCATAATAAATATTTGGCTAACAAAAAAAAAAAAAAAAAAAAAAGAAATAAACAGAAGGTCATAATAAATATTTGGCTACAAAATAGGGCACATTTTGATCCTA